CACACACACACACACACAAGTCCTTTACAAAATAAAAGACTTTTCTTGTGAATTTGAAACACTGAAACAGGTTTTTGTTTCTTATTCTCTCCTTATATTAATATACTATACTACGTACTAATATACATATTAGTGAACTAATAATTACTAACATTGCATTCACCCAGATGTCAGAGGACGCTGGCGTGTTTGTGGCTGTTCCTGAATCAGTTTGTTTTGCTCTGCAAACAGGAGTGGATCTGCACTGACCCCCAACAGTTCTGTGTTGCTAACAGTGTGACGGCTGTACGACGGCAGCTCTTCCAGCTCACCTGACCTACTCCACCACCTCCATCGCCTCCACGGGACTCCAGGCGCCAGGGATTTACAGTGCTGGTAATACATGCATCTTTGCTGCTAAGTACCACAACTTCATCATTATCATCTTCGTCACACAGCCTGCAGGTTTTAGTTGCCTAGTAACAACAGGCGCAACAGTAGCAGGAGTTCTCAGAGGCTGCATCTGAACAGCCCCTAAACCCCAAATTCCACCAAGCACGTCTCACCTGTTCAGCCTGCACCCATAAAAACACTAACATACTGTTTATACTCAGCATGATGTTGAACTGAGCCTGTGCATTTTGTGTATGTGAGAAATGACTGGATGTATGAGCCTACTGTACATACTCAACCACCCCATAATGCACTGCGTTATTTCACCAGCTATATATTATCTCAATATTTGAATCAAGAAATGTTGAACCACCAGCGGGGGTAGGGGCTTCTCTCCAGCTGGCCAGTGCGCTTGTTGTTGTTGTTGTTGTTACTGTATGTCTCTTTGGTTAAAATCAGCTATATTAATGTAAGGTAGTGTATGACTCAAGTACGTACCAAGCTGACTGAGGTCCAGGGGGGTCCAGTGGAGTCCGGCGGGACAGGACGGAGACAGCGTACGAATACTGACTCGGCTATGAGTGTCCAAACCCCACAGGGCATCACGACAGGCAGACAGGTGAGTCAGCTCCACCTGACCACGCAGGTAGAACTCATTAGAACATCATCGGAACACACAGGTAGAACATCAGAGTGCAGAGAGAGCAGACAGGTACCTCAGGTGGTAGGGGGACAGAGGAGGGGCGGAGCTCTCCATCCTGGTCCCAAACACAGAACAGATCCTTCCTGCTCTGAGCCAACCACAGGAACGTCCCTGAGACACAGGTGACACACAGGTAGACTGATGAACAGGTGTGTTAAATGTGAGAGAGGGGTGGGGCCTACTGAGGTCTGTGTGTGTATGTGTGTGGTTGTTGTCAGGGTGTGTGTGTGTGTACAGGTGTGTGACCTTCTCTGTGAGGCACTGCTGAAGAAGTGATGAAGGTCCACCTGGTGGCGGAGACAGTTCCTCGTGGAACGACATTCTGCCAGAAAGTTCCTGCAGGAACCAAACACAGACAGCAGCTGAGAAACTGCAAACTGTAAACACACTGTAAACAGATACTATGTAAGCATCTGTAAACAATACTGTAAACTCTTACTGTAAACACACTGTTAAAACAAAACTGTAATCCTACCACTGTTTTAAACTCACTGTAAACACACTGTAAACATACTGTAAACACACTGTAAACATACGTAAAACACACTTGTAAAGCACTGTAAGACACTGTAAACAGACTGTAAAGGCCACTGTAAAACTCAACTGTAAACCCACTGTACCATACTGTAGATACACTGTAAAGCACTGTAAGAGACAGCGGAAACAGACTGAAGCCTGTATTCAGCTGTTAAAAACCCCACTGTAAAAACATTACGTAATGCACACTGTAAACGCACTGGTAAAGACTTAAAGCATGTAAACACACTGTAAACAGGGACTGTAAAGCATGGTAGACCTAACGTAAGCCACTGGTTAAATCATACTGTAAACAAACTGTAAACACACTGTAAAGCACACTGGTAACAAATTGTATAAATTCACTGTAAACACACACTTGAAACATGACTTACACACTGTACAACACACTGTAACACACTGGTAAGCACTGTAAAAACACTAAACTCACTGGTACACTCCTTAAGACATCACTGGGTAACCAACACTGTAAACAACACTGTAAATAAATAATTTCCCCCTGGATTATTAAGGTTTCTGGATTCTGTTGATTCTGATAATCAGGGTTTTTTGCCACCTGGCATTCAAGCATGCCGCACAGCTTCCTAACAGTACCACCCGAGTTTGCATCCACCGCCAGTGGCCACACCACAAGAAGGACAAGGCTAACTCCACGACGAGCCTGAGTCCACATGACCGCTGACAGAAGAACAACACAACCGACCACAATCAGATATATCATCGCAACACAGTGGAACAATAAATCCTTAGAATGGCTCATCTCCTCCCGCCCAACAAAACAGAGCTCAACTACACACTAAAAACAGTCTACTGATTACAAATCGACCTAAATGTCACTAATCTATCTAGTATATACCTCGCACCCAAATACTATACTCTCACCACCTATATTAGCTTGGAAGTTACAGTTTATTACTGCCAGCTGGAGTATACTTATCTAATAGCTTTCTCACTTTGCAGTTCATGCAGCTATTCTACATATTACAGTTAGTATTGGTTTTACATGTAACTTATTTTGTTAATTAGCAATGCCTTTCTACTTGCGATCTGGTATTTTTATCAGTTAGTATTGACTAGTACTGTATATACGCACGATAACGTCTCACCTATATCTGGATATTATTCCACCGGTAGTGCCATTTATACAAGGTACGATTACATAGTTAACGTAATTGTAATTATGGGTATCTAATGATGTTAAACACATACTATTACAGTAAGTATTATACAGTGAGTTACTATATGCTTATATGACAATACTTAATGAATATTACTATATACTCTTACAAGTAAGTGTATGTGCCCAGAAACCCAGTAGTGGATGGCACTTCCCTTGCAATTAGAGTGGTGTTGAGAGGTAAGAATTATGGTACCTGTCACTAGGTCTATCTTACACGTAGTATTACAGTAGTACTATGCGGTATCTTTTTAGCAGTAGTCCATGTACAGTAGCCTATTAGCAGTAAGGTGAGCTAATGATACCGTATTAATTACCACGTAGTGATTCAGCAGTCAGTCACTATGAGTGGTTATATCTCATTACGGTGATAGTTACAGTCAGTAATTAACAGTAGTAGCTATGATGGGTGAGTTTTCTGACAGTAGTATTCACGTAGTGATTACAGTAAGTACTAATGATGAGTATTTCATTACAGCAGTATTAAGTAGCAAGCTATGATACGTTATTATTAACAGTAGTATGTACAGTACGTATTACAGTAGTACTATGAATGTGGTATTTTAACAGTAGTCATCTACAGTAGGTAAATCTAGGCATAGTCACTCTATGATCCAGTCATTATTCCAGTCAGTATTCACAGTAAAAGTACTATGATCAGTATTATCTACGTAGTATTACCGTGCCAGTAATTACAGTAGTTATGATGTATATTCACAGTAGTATTACAGCACAATACACACAGTACTATGGATAGTATCCACTTATCTCAGCAGTAGTAATTACAGTCCAGTATTCACAGTGAGTATTACAGTAGTACTATCGATGTATTATTACAGTAAGTATTACGTAGTATCTATGATCGAGTATCTAATTACCAGCTAGTATTAACAGTAGTATAACAGTAGTCACTATGATCAGGTATGATTAAGTAGTATTGACCAGTAGTACTATGATGGGTATTCATACCAGTAGCTATTACATAGTATTACGTATACTATGATGGTATAATAGCAGTAGCTATTACGTTCCAGTCTACATCATGCGATCGGTATTGATATACAGAGTATTACGATATGTATTACAGTAGTACTATGATCGGTATTATTCATACAGTATTATTACAGCGTAAGTATCTACAGTAGTACTATGAATGGTATTATACCAGTCAGTATTACAGTAGTACAATGATGGTAACTTCAGTGATGGTAAGTATTACCAGCATAGTCATTACATGAGTAAGTTTTTTTTCGTTTTTTTTTTTTTTTTTTTTTCTTTTTTTTTTTTTCTTTTTCATGATCGTCATTCACTTAACAGTATCTACGTATACAGTAGTATTACAGTAGTATAATGAACCGTAGTGAATTACAGTAGTATTAGCAGTAGTACTAATGGTATATGACCAGTACGTATTGAACAGTCAGTAGCTATGATGGTATTATTAGCAGTAATTATTCAGCATGTAGTATTGACCAGTAAGTACTCATGATACGTGATGTGATTACAGTAGTATTAATAGTATTAGAGTAGTACTAATACGATAGCGAGTATTATTACAGTTTATTAT